TGGAATGAGCCACCATAACGTCAGTAAGACTCACTTCATCGTTGTTATCTCCCATAACTGCCTTTCCTCTATCTGAACTTTGTCTAGAGAAGGAATCTACAGGACCTTTTGATCTGGTGAAGTAAGGATGATCTGCCAGCTTTTGATTGATACAGATCAGTTTCAAAGTACTTGAGAAGTGAAAGAACTCAAAGGCAGATTTGTCAGTGCAGATTCAGAGCACAAAATGCATAATATCACATAGAGCAGATAAACACACAAGTTGCTTTGTTTGAGGATATCTTTAGCCCACGAGAGAGGACGGGGATACATTTTTTAACAAGCAGGAATTTACTCGTTTTAGTTTTGACGCTATCTCAGGAAGGCTAAGTCACGTTGAGCTACGGTCTTCTTGCAGCTGCTTTTTGATGTCTGTTGACCTGATCTTCGTATCTTTTCATAACATGAAGGGGAGAATGAAAATTTTAAAGATAGGGGCCGGGCTGGGAGAGGTTGCCTACGTATCTCACAAGGAGAATTCAGGCCCAACGTAGTTCGAGTTCAGGATATAATATTTTCATTCATTCATTCATTACGATTACAAGGAAATTGAAAGACAACACCAGAATTCCTAAAAGACGACATGAAGATGACACTTCAATCGTTTCTCTTCTTGTTGCAACATTACTCTCTTCCTTTCAGACGATCTAGAAATGGGGTCTTGTAGATGATTTCCTTGTCGTTGTCCTCCTCAGTCACTTCGGGGTGAGTGTAGTCGAGACCACTATTGGCTGCTCCTTTTTCATAGGCGGGGTATTTTCCGCCCTTCAGGTTGTGGTGGACTGTCAGTTCCTTGTCAAGTAACGCACTTTTAGCTAACAGAGCGGCGGTCTCCAGGTCTATCCTTGCCTCTCTTGCTTTTCTTTCTTGCACTTTCAACCGAAGCGTGTCCAACTTCTCTCTCAGGATTTCGGTCTCCATCTCAACATCTTTGTTTCTTCTTATCTCCGATGCCAGATCCTTATCCATTGTCATGGCCGCAGCTTTGTAAATTGCGGTGGCCATGTCGACTCTGAGCCCTTCTTCCTTAGCTTCTTGAATTTCCCGAGTGATTTGTTCGATCTTTCTCTGTAGTTTGTCTTAAGGGATTTCCATTTGGATGTTCTTGCCCTTGTCCATAGTGGTAATTTTGCCTTTCTTGAGACGATGGAACAATGTTTTAGGATTTGTGGTATATGAGGAGGTCTTTTGAGTGAGAAACTTAAGACTTGGAAACTTTGGTCAGACATTTATAACAGTGGCTTCTGTATATTCTTTTTTGGAAATTTCAAGATAGGAGTGGGCTTAGGATATCCTCATTCATAACAACATAACACATAAACAGTTGAACACACATATATCGCGTCCTAAAACATACAAGGGGACCCTTTTGCGCCAAGGGTAGGCCTAGCGCATTTGAATGATGTACGTGTGAATTTGAACAAAATAAACAATTCCCCCCAAAATAAAATTTACTAGTGAATAATGATGTTCACAAAGGGGAAATAAATATCAAAGACAAACCCACGCAGGGGCCATTTGAAAGTGCGATAAAAGCAGGCCAACGCATGGCTAAAACAATGTAAATATATATATGAAAACCCATGCAGGGGTGAGGTCCACTATGTCGCTCCAGATGATCCTGCTTCATCGCCGTCCCTCTGAGCCTTGTGTTGCTGAAACATATATCTTAGCATCAGCAAGAAACCTTCACCCAGTCATCCTTTGTCTTCCAAGCTTTCGTATCGCATCCTCTCGATTTTATCCTTGATCCAGTTATCAAAATCATCATAACCACGCCTCAGCCTTTCAACATCTTGAGTCACCCTCTTAAGAGTGTCTTGGTTCTCGACAAACTTAGCGTATACCTCTTTCGCCTCTTCCTTTATCTCTTGTAGCTCGGCCAGTGCTTTTGCTTCTCTATCTGTTACACTGCGAAAGCTACAAGGAGTTTGAAAGGAGACGTTTTGTATGTCCTTCTTCAGCCATTCTTTATAACCCTTGTCATATCCAGCATTGAATCAGTCAGGGGTGATGGTGTCCTTATCCATATGCTTGGGGCCTTTCCATTCTCTGAACATTTCAGACGCGTTGTGCACTCTATCATCTCTGATCATACACATAAGCGCCATAGTACACTTCTCTGGGTATAGTTTGTCTTCTTCCAAACTGTCGTAAAACTTGAAATTGTGCATAAGTGTGAATTCCCTGAATTTCTGGTAGAGGAAGCACAACCTATCCGTGGCTCTCCACAACGAATTCTTTGGAGATAAAATGGTCGAGCATCCATTGGAGGTCTTCTTCTCTCAATTCGGAGAAAATTTGAGCCCATCTCCCCCTTGTTCTCCGATTGTTCATATTCACCCAGTATAACAGGTCATTTAAATCCTTAAGGGTATTCTTGTTGTCGAGAGTATGAAGCTCCTGATTCCCAGCACCCTTTGCTAAATGGCTGAGGACCCACCACTGAAGGAGTAGGTTACATCCTTGAAAGTATCAATGTCCCTCTTTACACTTTTCCAAGGCTCGATATATGTCTGATAAGATGACCAGAGCTATAGGGTAGTATTTTTTCGTCCCTTGGTTTTCATACCCTTTGAACAAAGTGTGCACGAGTGTTATAACTCGGGTATTGATACTCAACTTGGACCATGAGGGAAGACCATTGTTTCCAATAACGCCACAGCAAACGCTAATGGGCGAATTTCATTCCATTCTCTGTAGGAGATCTTGAACTCTCGATTGTAAGTGGCGAGAAGCTTGCATGTCCAAATCAGATATAAAGGTCCCTGAATGCTGCGTGGGATTCTTGGAACCAGTAGGCAAAGTCCTTTCCCAACCTGAACCAGTCCGCAATGTCATCTACGGAAGGCTTATTGGGGATGAATATATCTTCCTATTTTCTTGCTCTCCTTTCTATCCCAGTGCCTACTGTGTCTATACAGTCTCTTATTTCCTCCAAAGTTGGGGTAATTTCGGCGGTTCCAAATCTAAACACCATCCTCTGGCTATCTCAATATCCCGTAATTACCTCAACCAGTTCTGGCCAACCATTTATGTTGATCAGTTCTGTTAATGCACCCACGTATTTGTTGAGGGTTCTTCTATGATCCCCATCAAAATTATCATACCACATCGTGAGTTGAGGTGGCGCGAAGACGACCATGTCGAACTTTGGTAAACGGTCCATATCTGCGAAACATAAACTAGTTAGATTTTTCCCTACCCCCAAATTGGTTTTTACACGCATATCATTCAAATGTCAAATAATATGATGTGACGCGAGGTCGAAGACCTTAGACACAATTTTGGTAGTTTTCTACTAAATGGACTTAATACACCTTGGGTATAAAGCCGTCTTAGGCTAATGCTTGATTCGGTTTTGGTTTCGCTCTATCTTAGGTTTACTAGAATAGTTTTCAAGTTGACGATTACCCGAGTCAAACAAACATCGAGGTGAAGCTACCAAACAACGTCGGATGACCGCATTCAAACTATTTGTTTGATACTTCCAAATGAAGTCTTGTGTATTTCTTAAGAAGGCCGTGGAAAACCATGTAACTTTCATTTCCTTAATGCATACTACTTGCCGTTTGGCGGGAATACGCCATGAAATGCAACAGTTTCAAAACGAAAGTAACTAACAAATAAACAATTTATTGCAAATAGCCAAATAACATTAGTTTTAAGGTTAGAATCCTCCTACTTCCCCAGCAGAGTCGTCATATCTGTTTTATCCGAAATTGGGAAAATATTTAATTTCGAAGAATTTTTGATTTTTTTTAGAGAGTCGCCACTTAATTTTAAAGAAGATTAAGAAAAATATTGTTTTTAAATAACTTAACAGAAAAATTATTTAAAAACGTGAAAGGGGTTCGGAGATTCATATTAATGTGTTAGGAAGGTTAAAAACGCCTAAGACACCCGCTAACTCGCGGTTATCCAACAACTAACCTTATATGGCTAAAATTTAGTTTATTTTGAACAAAATATTGCTTAGAGTTTTGCTTGAAACTAAGTACTTGATTTTATAAATGGTTCGCAAATTTTATATGGCAACTTTCACATATAACAAACAAAAAATTCATATTTGTATGCTATAGCAAACTTTGCATAATTGTGCTCCATAGCAAACATAAAACTGTATAATTTGCTATACATATACAATTGTATAATTCGCTGGCCTAAATTGTATAATTCGCTTGCCTATTTCGCTGCAATTGTATAATTTGTTTTGCATATAGTTGAATCGAATTAAAATGTATGTATATTGCATAATTATAAGTGTATAGCAAGAAGATATATGTTTTTCTCACTTTATACAAAAACAGAAACACAATATATACACTTCTGTTGTATAAAACTAGAGGAAATTGTATTTCACTGCAATTGTATAATTCGTTGGCCTTTTTCTCTGCAATATTTGAAGTAAAATGTTTGTAAATTGTATAATTAAGTCTATAACACGAAGATATACATTTTTGCATGTGTATATACAATTTTCTCTCGCTTTATACAAAACAGAAATAGAATTATATACTTCTGTGTAGAAAGCGAGAGAGGCGAACGAGAATGGAGAGTGGCGACCGAGATTTTTGGGAGAGAGACGCTGGCAAATTTTAGCTAATGTTTGCTATGGAGCAAAATTAAATCAAACCCTAGCTATTCCATTTAATTTAGGTTATTAGTTTGCTATTATATACAATTTTCCCTTTTATAAATGGTTTGTAAATTTATTCACTCTTTTAGAATCGGTTTGAAATTAGTTTTAAGTTGATAAAACTTTTACGGCGCTCTAAGAGGGTTTGGAGTTTTCGACCGTTTAAAAACTACCGACAAATAGAGCAAGTAAATAAATGAACAAACAAGAGAGACAGAGAGAGATTTTTAGGTCCAATCCCGGATTTTGTCCGCCTTGGCCGGGATTTGGACTCACCTGCTTTGGGTCTTTACCCATTTGACTTTCTTTCGTACCTGTCCTAGTTTAAACAAATAATAAATACAAAATAATATTATTTGGCGACAAGGCTTATGCCCGAAATGCATACAACATAATAAATTTAATAGGATCTTCTAATCGACTTTCGGCCTTTTCAATCTTCATGAAACTTCGAACTTGTACGTCTGTTTGGATAGATTGACTAGATGTAAGAAAAAATGAGTCTCTCCGACTTTTCGAAATGCAAAGGGTAACGTGAGTTCTTGGCAAGCTTGGGCCATTTTACATGCAACAAAATGACGATAACGAGCATCATTAGATAAAAAATAAGAGAGACAACGCCTTTTAAGGCAAATTATTATAACAGTTCCTAAACTGATGTATAGCAACTAAAATCAAAGTCATACAAAATAAGAACAATCAAATGAACAAATAACAATTAAATACATGCTGACAAGTGAATGTATGCTAACAAGTGACGCTGACTGTAACCACATTCCGCAATATTAAGCTAAGATTAATCCTTTTAAAGCATCAATGAACGAGATTAATTATTAGAGAAGGACACTATAGAATATAAAATAAACTCCTAACGATTTTAGCAAGGAATAAGGCAACAAGACAAATGGAGCATACGAAAGTCAAATTATTACTTCCCTTTTAGCTAGCATGCTATGAAGAGAAAGAACAAAACCTCTAGCAAAAATAAAGAAACTACTGGCTAAAATAAGAACAAATGAAGTTTATCACCAGAGTTATTCTTCATGAACAAGGTTAAAATATGCTAACAATCATCCCTTATAAAATATATAATGAAATTTAATGTTAAACCAATGACATACACAAAGAACTTGGCAGATTGAGAATTAGGAAAAATACGAACGACATGAGTTAAACGCCTTACTATCTACAATAAGGAAACGAAGTTAGTAATACTAACCCACTTGAAACGATGGAAAACATTAGCTTATAACAAAAGCAAACAATTTAGTTCGATGGCAAAAACAAATAAGGTGAGTTTCAACGCAAGACAAGGACTAAAATGAAACAAAACGGAGAAAAAACAATTCCCTTCGCACGACACACCCATCTAAATGCACTGTCTAAATAATAGCAAGATATGCTAAAATCTGATTTGTAAATTCACCTAGACTTAAATGTCAAACGAAGGGCGTATTTAGCATACCAAGGTAGGAACAATCCGCAGCCAAGACGAAAAAAGATTCAAACTAGAACAGGCAAACCAAGCTAAAAAAAACAAGACAAATATCTCTAAAGCTACTGCCATAAGTGACCATTTGATACTCTTATTATCTATGTCCACTTACTCATATTAAAATTAGAAACAATCATATTTCATTCTTATTATATATATATATATATATATATATATATATATATATATATATATATATATATAGCATACGACTAGACCAATATTATTTGAACTTATACAACAGAACACAGATAAAAAATGATGCTACCTGTCAAATTCTCTTAGAAACAAAACATTGTCCTAAAAACACATCCAGTCATCCCACATATAACCTGCACAATCCTTTAACACGGAAAAGGAACGATGGATGTACATTCCCCCCTTTTTTTGACACTAAGCAATATAGATAAGTAGGGACAGCAAACATGATTCACAAGAAATCAGTAAACAAGCACGAGAAACGGACCTACGATAGTCAACAAATCTGTAAGAGAGGAAAGGGGACAACACCACGAACTCAAAACAGAAAATCAATAAGTTGCAAATGTCGAATACATGGCAAATCAAAATCTCAAGCAAGCCATTCGATAAGGAAGCACACAGAGGATTAAAACTAACAACAAATAGCTAAACAGGTTGGTATTTGGAAACAAAGATGAAAAGAACAAGGCATTTATGAAGCAAGCTCCATTATACAAGAAACTACATAACTTCGAAACAAAAGGAAATGTTGAGCTCTTCTGCTAAGGATTAAAATAGAGCTACATTACAGGAAAGAATAAGATGGAACAATACCTTCTGCGATGCAGCGAACAAGGACGGAATGGACAAGAAAGCAGTGACTTCACAACCACACGCAAAGACGGTGAACTCGGATGACGAAACAGAAATTGACAAAAGCAGGAACAATATCACTCCTTTGGACTTACTGACTTCATGTTGCTTCCTCCCTAATGTTCTCAATATCTCATTTTAAGAAATTTGAAATCCCAATCCAAAGATTTTTACTCTGTTTTAACAGAGATAAACAAGAAATATTCCAAAATCTGCCTCCGAAGATCTCCTCTAATTATGAAGTATTTGCTCGAACCCTTTATATCATAAAATCTCCTTTTGTTTTAAGAAAAAAAATCAAGACTCAAGAGAAAACAAAAACCTCAAAAAAAAATCCCCCCCTTGTTTTCACAGTGAATCTTATATAGGAGAAAAACTAGGGTTTTGAAAAATGGAATTGGGGGTAAGATCGAGATTCCCCCCTTAGTCTTTTCATTTTAAATCAAGAAAATACTCCAAAGTTATTGGCTGGAGACCTGCGCGAAATTGTACAGTTGCCTAGCGGCCAAACAATCTGTGGCGTCTAATTTCTTCGCAAGGACGAACACACAATGAGATTTAGCCACCTCTATCTGTTCGTCGTACCAATCTGCTCCAGAAAATCAAGAAGAAATAGAATGCCTGACAGTCCTTCATCTTCCATTTCACGCAGTGAAATCACAGTGTATCCAGATGGCTTTCCGTCGACGCGCGCTCGCGTGGGATGAAAGGGTGCGTCGGGGATCCGAAGTGGGGTTCACACATCTGCTGCTGTTATCTTCTTTGGGAAAATGTTAGAGCGTCTGGAACGCTACCCTCTCTTGTGACCTAGATTGAGTCAGGTCAACTAATGAATAGCTGGGTTGGAGAGCTGAAAGGGGTGGGTCAAGTTTTGGGCGCTTTTTGTGGGCTGGAAATTTGAACAATTGGGCCTGAGATTTGTTGGGTTACTGACTGTAATGGGATATTTTATGTGGGCTGGGTAATAATGAAAGGGCTGGAGGAAAGAAAATAAAGGCCCAAATTTGGTTTTAAGACAAGCTAAATGAAATATTAAATGAGCTAAATCGGATTTAACTCACAAATTTGACTAAAACTAAAATAATATGAATAATTATTAATTAACAAGCCTCTTAACCTTAACAAAGCATAATCAAACTAATTAATTCACAAATATAAAGTGTAACTTTAATAAACAAATAACCAATACTTAGATGATTTTTAAATATTCGTAAAATATACTAATTATATATAATCATGTAAGACATATACATTATAAAAAGAATTATAAAAAGTGAAAAAACTATTTAAGATAAACTTAACAAACTATTTTGAATTTTAAAGAACTAATTATTCTAATGTTGAGAATTAAGAAGCTCGGTGATTAATTTATATTGTGGAGAGAAAAAACTGGGTGTCAACAAATATGTTTAAGTCAAACGTAGCTAAAAAAAATTATAAATAAAAGCATAATTTGGGGTGACACGAGTGTCAAATAACAGCGGAGTTTTGGTTGTAAATATCAAATACAACATCAAACAATATGAATAAACAAGCATATATACGGGATTATTTGGATGTGATAGGATTATGGGCTAAGGTATACAACTCGGTAATTGCAAATCATAGTAAATATGTTGTAAATCAGTGATTGAGCTAGAATTTAGAGAGGATAAACTTTCTCTCAAACAATTTACCCTGAATAATATTAGTTTCTCTCAAATACCAATAAGTCGCGATTAACAACCTTTGTTTTAGTCCATTCATTCTCTTGAGATGAATTTGTGGAAAAAGATTTTGGGTTCACTCTCTCGAACTGAACCAATGAAAACCCAATACCCGCACACCATCATTTCATTAATCTTGGTTTCAATCCTGTTTCTCGAGAAAGCCAAAAACACAAAGATAGAATTGCATTTGCAACTACAACCCTTTATATTAAGCCACAATTACGGAATGAAATCAGTTTAGAACAACATTTAGACTATAAAAATAGAAATACCCATCAACTAAATCAACCCATAATCACACCCCAAGAATTGGAGTTTTAGCTAGAAATAGTAAAAAGAAAGAAATCAATACCAAATTTTATTTCTGTCAATTGGGTAAGATAAATATTGTCTTTAAAAAGGTATAACATGAAGAATATTAAACACCCACTTCTAATTTCTTAGAAATGGAAATTTTAAAATCTTCAAATATAAGGAAAAATATTATCTCTAAACTCAGTCTAAAATCTCAAACTTGAAAACTGAATAATGTTTTTATCCAACAAAAGATTCCATACTAATCTAAAAATTTAAACAAGTATTTATAGTCGCCAAAAATTTTGTTGTGTAGGACTATTCAGCGCAGTTAGTCGAGATCGTCGATCCACTCGGCAACCTGCCCTTTGGTACATTCCATTGCCTTTTTTCTTTTGGCCTTTAACATTTTCAGGTTTTGTCGCTTTGGGCGATAGAGTACTGCATCTGCAAAACTGTTTGATAATTCATTGACTGCACTTTTTTATCCCCGACGTAATTTTCTCTTTCAGGATTTGGCACACTAAACATTAGGGAAGACTAAAGGTCGTTCGGCGACTCCCCTAACGGGTTAGGCGATCCTCAAGCCATTCTTTTTCTCATTAGTGTCCATGCTTAGTTCCTCAATCTAAATACCTGAAAATCAAGAATTTATATCAATTAATGGCTCAAAATATGTATTCAAGGACACTAAATCTATTAATATAATGTCTTAATAAGTCTAAAATATGGATTCATTAGTCTCATTCGAATAGTCTCTCAAACATAGCAGATGATACAGGCCTTTGATGAGACACAATTTCTAGACCATTAGTTTGAGTATCAAGGGTTGGCTTCACAATTGACTGGGGTTCATAATTCTTAGAGTCTCTGTCGGATAAAACTATAGTTGGACAGCAAAGCAAAATTTCCTCAAGATTGAGGGTTGTGGATGCCAACACTTCAGTGTGGGACGTGTTTCAAATGGAAGAGACACCAAAATAATAGAAAAAAAGTTATTACTACTACCACTACTTTATGTCTTTCGCTATATCTTTCTCTGCTCTTCTTAATTTCAGTACACAGTATTTATTTTATAAAGTTGCTTAGATATCTTTGAAATTCTTGTTCTTAGGATTTTACCATGAAGGAATATTGCTAAGGAACTGAAAAGATTCATATTACAAAATAATAAAATGAATTAAAGTATTAATTAAGAAGTTCTTTTAGTTTTTATTTAGAACTATTCCTTTTTTTTTAATTTTGAGGTCCATAAAGTAGTAAACAAATCAACTATGGTTGTTTTACCCTTGTCAATACTTATTTTACCGGAATCAATATTCAAATATAAAAAGTGATTATATTATATATAATACACAAATGTAATGAAAAAACTTTAAACAAATAATTTACTAAATGAGTATAGCCTAGAGACTAATTACTCACAAAATAAATAATTAAATGCAAACAAATAAATAAGTAAATGAAAAGTGATATGGAACGAATGGACCAAACGTCTACTTAAAAAGTAAACGTGTATGAATGAAAGACAAAAATTGAAGTTCAAGTTTGAAGCTCCAAATATAATTTGCAAAGAAAAAATTCGTAATTTTAGCGAGAATAAGAGATTAGAGAGTAGATACTTTAGTGAGGCTTCTGAGCGTTGTTGAGAGAGTAGAAGATACTATATTTGTTAGTGAAAAGAATTAAAGATTTGGGGGCATTTATAGGTAAAAAAATGGATGAAAATGTTTAAGAATGTTGGGGTGTTAAGAATTTTTTTTTGGGGGGGGGGGATAGGGGGACCAAAACCCGTTTCCCAACAGCCTTCAATAGATATTTTTGATTTTTTTTAAAAAAATGAACCTAACCGGACCAAGACTGGAACCACGATTAACTGGTAAATCCTGGTTTCCATCCCATTACCTCTCACGAACCCCCTAGACACCGACCCTAACTGGTACAAGCCGAAATTGAACCAAACTGGTAACAGACCGAGAAGGAACAATATCAGAACCGACACCTCCCGGTTTCGTTGCCAGGCTTATGTCTATGAAACATCTACTACTAGAATAAAATGTCTACGTCGGGACATAACCCCCCGACATACCATGAAAACCAAAGGGAACACATAAAGAGATGTCCACTTTCTGGAAAGTTCACCATATTGCTAATTGGTATAACTAAATTATCTATTGCTGCTTGGAACTACGAACTTGTGTCTCCGGTACTATATAATCAAACGAGAGTGATTCAGGTTACAAAACTTTTCTAACTTGTCCAAAGTGTAGTAAGAACAATCCGGGTGAGTGTCTTCACAGAAGCGAGTTGTTCTTTGGATGTAGCTAATTTGGTAATAGGTTGAAGGATTGCCCTTATACCAGACAAGAACAAGGACCTAATAGGTCTAAGTCTACAACCTCAGCAGAGCCAGTTGGTCATCCCACTGAGTATGGTGCCTCATTTACTACAGGTGGTTGTTAGCACCATAATAGGTTGTACGCTCTTAAGGATCGCCTAGACGAAGAAGATTATCATTATTTGGTCACTAGTACGTTACGAGTCTTTCATTTAGACTTATATACATTATTTGATTCAGGGGATATTATCTATTTTGTCACTCCTTATATAAGAGTAAACTTCGGTGTCAGTCTAAAAACATTCTTAGAACCTTTCTCAGTCTCTACTATAGTTTGTGACCCAATTTTAGCTAGAGGGGTATACAAAAATTGTTGGTTCACCATTTTCTAGAATGTCACCTCAGCATACCTGTAGAATTGGAAATTGTAGATTTAGATATATTGTTGGCATGGATTGATTAAATTCATGTTATACTTCAATCAACTGTAGAACTAAGATCGTTCGATTTGAATTTCCAAATGAGCACCACCCACAGTCTAGTGTAACAACCCATATCCTAGACACACTAGAATACAAATTTTAGAAGTTGTAGGTGACACCAATGAGAACCATCCACGGTCCCTAGGGTGACCAATAGACCATATGTGGATGTCCATCTGCAACTCCGTCCCACAGTCAAGGAGAAAAATATTTTTAAGGGTCGACCAACAATCAGACTTACAAATCGTAGGTTAGACCATGGACCATGGTCCATCGATCGTAACCCTAATTTTCCCTTCTATAATATCCAACGGAGGTTAATAGGATGTACCATGGATCATTCGATGGTCCATTAGTTTGCCCAGAAATCTTTTAAGTCAACAACCGTTTGGTCTTTTCCCCATGCGTTGGAAACCTAAAATACATTATATAACCCCCTAAACTACGTCGTTTTACTTAGGTGTATACTAGTAACTTATTAGAACTTACACTAGTCAAATCATTCTCCAAAAATTCATCAAGTTGAACGAAAAGAAGGAGAAGCCTCTCCTAGAACGCAACAAGTTTTCTTTAGTTCCACCCCCAAAATCAAATGATATCTCTGTAGCACTACAAGAAAACAACGAATTACAGGGGTAATTTCCCGGGGATTAGTATGAAAAATTGCATGAAATTTATTTTTATGTAAATTTTCATACTGATCACCGAGAAAATATCCACGTAATTCACACTATTCTGGTAGTGTAGATTTCTTCACCAGATTTGGCTTTCACTATTAGGTTCCTTTCACCCATAAGGTTCCTAAAATTCAGTCATATTTTCGATTCTCTATATCATGTTTAGACCTAGGATTTCTAAAACATCAGATTATTGTTGTGATTCAACTGTTCGATTATTCCTAGTCATATTATCAAGTTTTTGAGGAATTGTTGCTCAGCTTCTTGCATGAAACTTAGAAACCTAATTGTGTAGATTGGTTTACATCATGACTTACACTAACTAGGTTAGTTTATTCAGATATACATTTTCCGCTTATGAAGGTCTTATTATCAATACATAC